ATTGCCCACCCCCCCATGGTTCACTTAAGGACTCTGTAGGCAGGGAATGCCAGCTACAGATATACCCACCCTGAGCTGGCAGAGGGGACATCATTCCAATCACAAGTCTCGGCTCTGCCCTCTCTAGGGTGTCCGGGTTCAAGCAGCTTCGTTATTTATTAAAACCTGTGGCAGTCTTCCTAAGAGCAGTTGTATTCTCCTCAGCCTCTTTCAGCAGGATGCACCACACAGTCCCACCGTACAGTGTGGGGCCGCCATTGCCAGTGTCGGGCCGCCATTGCTCTGGGCTGTGGTCCCAGGCTACCAATGTGCACTGAAAACCACCTCTGGGTGCTACCTGCTCAGCACTACTGAGATCCAGGATTCAGTCCCCAGCACTGCTTGAAGTGTTGGGTGGCACTGAGTTTGGGACTTCCCAGACACTACTTTATGTAGTTCGTGTGACATGTATGTGACATTATGAGAGGTGTTTTTATTCCCCTTATACAGACTTGGGAACGTAGGCTCAGGAGGCTAATAACTCACAATTGTGTGGGTGGGTGGGGTGGGAGGGATGTAAGAGTGTAAAGCTCTTCTTGGAGCTACTAGGGTTTGAACTCAAGATCCTGTGCTGCCTAGGCAGGCACATTACCATCCGAGCCATGCCTCTAGCCCTTCTTGCAGTAGTTTTTTTTTTGTCGGTCATGGGGCTTGAACTCTGGGCCTGGGCGCTGTCCCTCAGCTCTTCAGTTCAAGGCGAGTGCTCTACCACTTAAACTACAGCCCCACTTCTGGTTTTCTAGTGGTTTATTGGAGATAGGAGTCTCATGGTCTTTCCTGCCTGGGCTGGCTTTGAACCACAATCCTCAGATCTCAGCCTCCTGAGTAGCTAGGATTACAGGCGTGAGCCACCGGCGCCCAGCTTGCAGTAGTTTTTTTTTTCCAGACAGGTTTTCATGTTTTTTGCCCTGGCTTCTCTCAAAACTGTGATTTTCCTACTTATGCTCCCAGAGTAGCTGGAAACACCGATCAGGTGGAGTCTCGATAACTTTTTGTCCTGGATAGTCTTCAACTAAAACTGTTTCCCCAGAGAATCTGGGCCCTTCCCTCTGAGGATGGGAAGGTCCAATTTGGCCAATGTGGTTCCCTACAACTAGCAATGCTCAGACGCTTTGCGGAGGTGAGGAAGGGAAGGTGGGCAAGGGCACTGGCTGAATTCCCAGCCCTACCTGACTGGAGGGTTCTTGTTCATGAACATTTCCATGGCACGTTCGTCCTCCGGGTCTACAACCACCTCGGCTTGGTGGCTCATCCCAGACATTTTGGCTGCCTTTTCCAGGGTGGGCCACTCCTCATCTTCCTCATCCGATCCATCCTGTGGCAATCCCGGCCCTGGAGGAGGGAAGATGAAGGGATGAGAATGGCTAGGAGTGACACAAGGGCTTCTGGGTCAACTAATTTTATTGGTGGTGTTGCCAGTCCTGGAGCATGGGCACCATTCCTGAGCTTCTTTTGCTCAAGGCTAGCACTCTACACTTGAGCCACAGCACCATTTCCAGACTTTTTTGTTTATGTGGTATTCATGACTTGAACCCAGGGCTCCTGCATGCTATACAAGCACTCTACCACTAAGCCATTTTACTAGCCTAATTTTTTCGTTTTGTTTTTATTGTTGGTTGTGGAGCTTGAACTTGGGACCTGGGTACCATCCCTGAGCTCTTTTGCTCAAGGCTAGTGCTCTACCACCTAGAGCCACAGCACTACTTCCCATTCGCTGCTGATTAATTGGAGGTAAGAGTCTTAAAGATATTCCTACCTGGGGCTGGGAAGGTGGCTCAGTGGTAGAGCGCTTGCCTTGCATGCATGAGGCCCTGGGTTCGATTCCTCAGCACCACATAAGCAGAAAGATAAAAAGCCGGAAGTGGCGCTGTGGCTCAAGTGGTAGAGTGCTAGCCTTGAGCTGAAGAGCTGAAGGACAGCGCCCAGGCCCAGAGTTCAGGCCGCACAACTGAACCAAAAAAAAAAAAAAAAGATGTTCCTACCCGAGCTGGCTTCAAACCTCCGTCCTCAGATCTCAGCCTCCTGAGTACATAGGATTTTAGGTGTGGGCCACTGGCTTCCAATTCCCAATTTAATTTTTTTCAGTAGAATTATATTGTTGTTGTTAAGGTGTTGTACAGATGGTTACCATCAGATAGTGAATGTTTCTTTTTAGACAATGTCAACCCTTCCTCTGCTTTCCCCACTTTCCCCTTCCCATCCCTACTACAAGTTGTACAGTGCATTTTCCACATTCAATTTAACTTTTAGCCATGCAGTATAATATAGATGTGTGCAAAGAAAAAGATGGGCACATACATACTATCTTCCTGTCCCCAGGAGCTTGCAATCTTGCTTGAGAAGCAAAATGGAACATATGAAATAATGAGATAGCAATGAATAATGGTAACATATCACCACCCTCAGTTATGTAGTAGGAACAGTTCTATATCGAACGCGCCACCTGGTTAACCTCGATAACCTCAACGTCTGCTGCCATCATTATACCCAGTTCCAAAGGGGACAATGATGCACAGAAACACTGATCTGCCCACAGCTGGATGGTCTGGATCCTGGGCCAAAGTGAGTAGCATGGGCATAAGAGGATGGGTAGAACGTAATTAGGCTGTGAATGGACAGTCTGAGTGCAAGAGGAGTCTGTCCCAGATCTAAGTTAACAACTCTGAACTGGTTATGAGCATCTATTGAGTATGAAAAATCAGAAGTGGCCAAATGGTGGGTGTGGAGGGGCACACCCATAAGCTACTTGGGAGGAGGCTACGGGGAGGATTACAGTTTGAGGCCAGCCTGGCCAAAAATTAGTGAGACCCCCATCTCAATAAAGGTGAGGCATATGCCAACAATTCTGGTTACAATGGAGGCACAGGTAGGAGACTCAAGATATGAGGCTGGACCCAGGTAAAAAGTGCAAGATCCTATCTGAAAAATAAAGCAGAAAGGGGCTGGAACACAGCTCAAGTGGTAAAGTGCCTATCCAAGTGTGAGGTGCTGGGTTCAAACCCTAGTAACAAAAAATATGCTGGGCTTTTTATTTGTCGGTCGTGGGGCCGTTGAACTCTGAGCCTGGGCGCTGTCCCTGAGCTCTTCAGCTCAAGGCTAGTGCTCTACCACTTGAGCCACAGCGCCACTTCTGGCTTTTTTCTGCTTATGTGGTGCTGAGGAATCGAACCCAGGGCCTCATGCAAGCAAGGCAAGCACTCTACCATTGAGCCACCTTCCCAGCCCTTTAAAAAAAATTTTTTTTTGTTTAAGCTTTTCTGTTTGGGCCAGTTGGAACCCGAACTCCACTATTTAGCCTGGGAGGCTCTCCAGGCTGGCTTCAGTTTTCTCCATCTGGCCCTGTTTCCTTTCCCCTTTTCTCCTCCATTTTCTTCCACTCTCCTTTCCTTTCTTTCCCAGATCTGAACACTCCACAATGGCTTTCCAAGTCTCAGCTTTGAAGATCCAAAAAAAATCCAGTCAGGCACCAGTGGTTCAGGACTGTAGCTACTCAGGAAGAGGAGATCTGAGGATTGCGGTTCAAAGCCAGCCCCGGCAAGAAAGTCTGTGAGACTCTCATCTCCAATTAACCACCAGGAAACCGGAAGTGGCGCTGTGGCTCAAGTGGTAGAGCGCTGGCCTTGAGCTGAAGAGCTGAGGGACAGTGCCCAGGCTCAGAGTTCAAGACCCACGAACGACCAAAAAAAAAAAAAAACGAAAACGAAACAAAAAGACCCTGGAAGCCTGACACTGACCTCTAAGGTGAATGCCATTGTAACCAGAAATATGTGGCTTTATCTAACGAGTGTATTATTCTATTTGTCTGTATTTCTCCTCGCTACACTTCTGGTTCTACAGTCAAGACACCTGTCTGAATTTACCCACCCAAGTTCCTAGCAGAGTGCAAAGCACTACGGGTACTCCACATACACTTACAAAATTAGTGTAATGTGCCCTTCTCCTTGTAATTCCAAACGAGTCTCCCGACAGACTTTGTGTGCGCGCGCGCGTGCCGGCACCAGGGCTTGAATTCAGAGCCAGGGTGCCGCACGTCTGGGTTTTCGTACTCAAGGCTAGCGCTCCACCACTTGAGCCACAGCGGCACTTCGGGGTGGTTCATTAGAGATCGATTCTCACGGTCTTCGAACCGCGATGCCCGGACTTCAGCTTTCTGAGCAGCCGGGCTTACAGGCGCGGGCCCCTGGCGCCGGGCTGAGGGGCACACACCAAGCACTAGGCGCCGCCCCGGCACTCACCCAGCCGCGTGGCGCGCTCCCGCGGCCTGGCCGGCCGGTCCCCGGCTCCATGCTCCGCCTCGAGCTCCTCCTGCTGCTGCCGGGCTTGCTGCAGGATCCGTCGGGTCAGCCGGGGCCCCACGTACTCTTCCTCCTCTTCAGTCCCGCGACCTCGACGCTTTTCCCGGGTCCCGGCGCGCACTGCGTCCCCGGCCAGGATCTGCTCGGCCAGGGGCGCGTGCTTCTCCTGATTCCCGGCCCCTCGGGCCGCTTTAAACTTGGGCATCTTTTTCTCCCCGAAAAAACTACCGAGACAGTTCACACGTGGGGGCGGGGGGGGGGGGGGGGAGGGGGGGGAGCCCGGCGGCGAAAGGCCCAGAGTGCGCTTGCGCAGTAACTCGCGTGCTCAAGAGGCCATGTCGAGACCACCGCGCCGCCTACTGTCGGGAGGCCGGAAGTGCAGCACGCGTCGACCCGCCCTTCAAAAGGCTCGGGAGTCCAGAAGCTGGCCTCCGGAGCTCCCAGATAAACTGGTTACTTTTCAAGTCGGCTTCTCTAAGTGGTGGCAATTGGAGTCACGCTCTTCGAGTTTCACAAATCCGGGCCTTAGGCCCAGTCAAAATAGAGGCGGAGCCTTGAAGATGACGTACCCTACGCGTCATCAAAGGAGTGCCCAGACACGCCCCATCTCGTGGGCGCCGCTACCGGGCGCTTCGTTTTTACGTACTTCCGGCGTGCTCTCCGGAGACTACGGTTTGTACCCGGTTTCTCTGGTTGTGGGCTGTTGGACAGCGCTGCGTCCCTCTTCCTGCCTCCTTCCCGGGCCGACGCCATGGGAGTCACTTGGTAAGACGGCCATGGCCTCTGTAGGGCGGGTCTGGAGGTCGTGCAGGGCCGTCCGAGGCCGGAGTGTCCCGGGCGGAGGAGAGGATCGAGGTCCACGGGCCGTCCCCCGGGCGCGGGGCCCGTGCGCGGACCTGCAGCGGGCTGCGCCTTCTCCAGGCCTGTTCCTTGTGGATACGCTTCGGGAAGGCGGCGGCGGGGCGAGCGTCTTCCCCGGCACCTCTGCAGTGCTTCTGTACCTTCTGCCCTTTTTCTTAGTACATCTTTCAACCCCTGTGGCTATAGTACTTGTAGTGAGGGGCACATGGCTGGAAATAGGACCTCCCAGCTCGGACTTACCTGCCGACAGAAGTAAAGCGGAGTGGCGGAATAAGCAGTGGGAATACAGGGTATTATTATTTTTGCCAGTCATGGGGCATGAACTCATGGCCTGGGCGCTGTCCCTGAGCGTCTTGTGCTCAGGCTAGCACTCTACCACTTGTGCCCCAGAGACACTTCCGGCTTTTTCTGTTTATATGGTACTGAGGAATTGAACCCAGGGCTTCATGCATGCAAGGCAAGCACTCTACCATTGAGCCACCTTCCCAGCCCCCGCCTCTTCCTCCTCTTCCTCCTCCTTTGCGGGGCTGGGAAGTTGGCTCAGTGGTAGAGCGCTTGCCTTGCATGCCTGAGGCCCTGGGTTCGATTCCTCAGCACCACATAAGCAAAAAAAGAAAAAACCCGGAACTGGTGCTGTGGCTCAAGTGGTAGAGCGCTAGCCTTGAGCTGAAGAGCTGAAGGACAGCGCCCAGGCCCAGAATTCAAGCCCCACGACCGGACCCAAAAAAAAAAAATAAAAATAAGAAAGGAAGAGACTGTTTGCAAGATTTGAAGACTTAGTTCATCTGAAGGCATTAGGCCTCTCCTGGTGCATAGTTGGGTGTGTTAACCTACCATTCCAAGTAGAAAGCCTCACCATAGGAGGAAACCTTGAAAATAATTTTTTCTACTTTTTGATTAAATTCTAAATATCATTTCTGCTATTATTATTATTATTGTCAGTCGTGGGGCTTGAACTCTGGGCCTGGGTGCTGTCCCTCAGCTCTTCGGCTCAAGGCTAGTGCTCTACCACTTGAGCCACAGCATCACTTCCAGCTTTTTCTGTTTATGTGGTGCTGAGAAATGAAACCCAGAGCTTCAGGCATGTGAGGCAGTCTATCACTGAGCCACCTTTCCAGCCCCTCTGCTCACTCTTAAGGACTATGACTCCCTGTTTTTCTCTTTGTTCCTTAGGGTTGTCATATGGAGCTTTCTTTGATGGTAGAGAAATGTTCTCTGTATTATCTTTGTTTAGGAAATTATCCACTAGCCTCCAGTAACTTGTGGCTCTCTACTAGATAGCTCAAGTTCAAAGAGTTAAAAAATACAAAAAACAACCCAACAAAACAGCTGGGTGTCAGTGGTCAGGAGGCTAAGATCTGAGGATCATGGTTCAAACCTAGCCTGGGCTGGAAAGTCTGTGAGGCTCTTACCTCCAATAAACCCCCAGAAAACCGGAAGTGGCATTCAGGCTCAGGTGGTAGAGTGCTCACCCTGGGCTGAAGAGCTCAGGACACTGGCTAGGCCCAGAGTTCAAGCCCCATGACTGACCGAAAAAACCGAAACATATAGCCCTAAACTTCTACTTTCTTCTTCTTGACATCTGAATATAGAATTGAAAGCATTACGAAGGAATTCCTTTCTCACTGTCTAATTCCACATCACTGAGAGCTCAGCCTACAGGCTATCATCTTCATATGAATGTTGGCCCACCTGCCAACCCTCTACTTGGTGTGACAGGACACTTATTGCCTCAATGGGAGATATTCTGCCTCTTGTTTTCTTAGGTTTAAGGGGTGGGATCAAGTGTTAGTGTTGCCTAAGGAAACTCCTGGACCTGCTGAGTTGTCATTTTGTGGGAAAGCAAGTGGTTCAGTTAGTATATGGGTGGTGTCTCTGGACCCTGTTGACCTGGTGCTCTTCTTTTCAGTGTGTCCCAGATGCCTGTGGCTGAGGGCAAGAGTGTCCAACAAACAGTGGAGCTTCTCACCCGGAAGCTGGAGATGCTTGGGGCAGAAAAGCAAGGAACATTTTGTGTGGACTGTGAGACTTACCATACCGCTGCTGCTACTCTGGGCAGTCAAGGTCAGTAGATGGCTCTGGGGGCTGACTGGAACCTGGCTTGGAGTTCCATTTGTGCTTTTCTGCTGACAGTGTTAATATTCTCAAGTATGTGGTAGGACATCTTTCTGAATTCATCCATTTTTGATCCAACATCTCTTAGACTAGGGGCTGTTTTAAATGTTTTGTTGTAGCTTGAACTTTTTTTTTTTTTTAGTTATGGGGCTTGAACTCTGGGCCTGGGCGCTGTCCCTGAGCTCTTCAGCTCAAAGCTAGTGCTCTACCACTTTGAGCCACAGAGCCATTTCTGGTTTTCTGGTGGTTAATCAGAGATAAGAGTCTTATAGACTTTCCTGCCCAGGCTGGTTTTGAACCTCAGTCCTCAGCGTTACAGGCTTGAACATTTTTGTATTTTTCAGTGCTGAGAATTGAACGGAGGGTGTTTCACATGGTAGAGAGGCACTTCTGCCACTAGTTATACTTTAGGTATTTGGGGACAGAATCTCACTGTGTAACTCAGGCTGGCCTTAAAGCCATTATATAGCCTTGGTTGGCCACTTGGTGTGTGAGTGCCATTACACACAGTTTAAATTATACGCATTTAATGGGTTAATGGATACATTCCCCCCCCCCCCTTTCTTTCTCTTGGTGCTGATGGTGACACTGCGAGTGCTTTGGGGGTGCTGTACCCCTTGAACCACTCACTAGCTTTCAGTTTTGTTTGTGTGTGTGTAGGGGGGGGGGTTGTTGTTGTTGGTTTTTACAGTCGTGGGGCCTGAACTCTGAGCCTGGGCACTGTCCCTAGGTTCTTTAGCTCAAGGCTAGTGCTCTACCACTTGAGCCATAGCATCACTTCCGGCTTTTTCTGTTTATGTGGTACTGAGGAATCGAACCCAGGGCTTCATGCATGCTAGACAAGCACTTTACCACTAAGCCACATTCCCAGCCCTAGCTTTTATTTCTTATTTTTTTTGGGTCCGGTCATGGGGCCTGAACTCTGGGCCTGAGCGCTGTCCCTCAGCTCTTCAGCTCGCCACTTGAGCCACAGCGCCACTTCCGTTTTTTTTTTTTTCTTTTTGCTTATGTGGTGCTGAGGAATGGAACCCAGGGCCTCATGCCTGCAGGGCAAGCGCTCTACCACTGAGCCACCTTCCCAGCCCTTATTTTTATGTTTTTGTAAGTTTTTTATTGTGAAAATACTGTACAGAGGGGTTACAGTTACATGAGCAAGGTAATGGGTACATTTCTTATCCAGCATTGTTGCCTCCTCCTCTGTTTTTCCCCTACCATCCCTTCCCTCCCACCTCTTCAGCTACACCCTGCCCGCAAGGCTGGTTTTGATCCTCAGATCTCAGCCTCTTGAGTAGCTAGGATTACAGGCCTCAAGCCTGACCAGCCAGCTCCTGCAAGTAAACATTTTCTAATGTAGCAAGTTTGTTTGTTTGAAGGCAGTACTGAGGATTGAATATAGGGCCTCCTGCAGATAAGATAAGCATTCTACAATTGAACTATACCCTCCCCTGTTTCTGTAGTACCAGGGTTTGAATTCAGGGCCTTATACTGGGTAGGCAGACATTCTATCACTTTAGCCATGCCTCAAGCCCTTATTACTTGAATTATTTTTCAGATAGATTCTTAGTTTTTGTTTTTTAATCCCAGGCTGGCCTGGACTGCAGTCCTCTCATTCTTCCTACATAGCTGGGATGATGGGCATGTGCCAGTTTTTATTGATTGCTAGCTTTTATTTTTGAAATAGATTTTCAATCACTTTTGCCTGGAGTGGCCTGGAACAGGAGAGCTTCCTGCCTACTGAGTAGCTACAGTTACAGGCATGATCTACCATCCCTAGCCTTAATGAATACATGTTGTTAATCAGTTTGGACATTCCCTTCTGATACCATCACTAGAACCAGATGCTACACATATCCAAAAATTTCCTTACTGTTTTTGTTTTGTGTACTTCCCCTAAAAACTATATTTTCCAAGCCCCCTTGTGGTTACCTATGGTCAGTGCAAAGCACTGGGGTGGGGTTAGATAGGAGAAAGGAAGACGATAGTATTCCTTTCCTGCTTTGGGTAGTCTCTCTAGCCTTGGCTGGTCTCCTTGGATCTGGCTGTTGCTAGGCATCCCTCATCCCTGGATCTGATCAGTACATCTTTTCTTTATCTTTCCAGCCCTAGGGGTGGCAGAGTTTCCTGTTACTGTCTTGTTTTTTGTTTGTTGTTGTTAGCAGTGGGTCTTGAACTCAGGGCCTGGGCAATGTCCCTGAGCTTTTTCACTCAAGTCTAGCTCTCTACCACTTAAAGCCACAGCACCACTTCTAGTTTTCTGGTGGTTATTTGGAGATAAAGAGTGTCATGGACTTCCCTGTCTAGGCTGGCTTCGAACCATGATCCTCATATCTCAGCCTCCTGAGTAGCTAGGATTACAGGTGTGAGCCACCAGAGCCTGGTCTGTGTTACTGTTGCTTGTTTTGCTTGATTATCCTGTTTGGTTTTTTCATTCTTCCAACCCCTGTATGAATTCCTTCTGAAACTATTTGGCATGGTATCTATTTCTGGGTTTTTCCTGGTGGTGTTGTCTTACCTATAAAATAAAGACATATAGCTGGTACCTGTTACTCATGCATGTAATCCTAGCTACTCAGGAGGCTGTGATCTGAGGATCAAAGCCAGATTGGACAGGAAAGTTTGTGAGACTCTTATCTGTATTTAACAAGCAAAAAAACAAAGTAGAGCTGTGCCTCAAGTGGTAGAGCGCTAGCCTTGAGCATAACAGCTCAGGGAACAGCACTCAAGCTCTGAGTTGAAGCCCCAAGACCAGAACAAGGAGAAAAAAAGTACTTACAAGTAAGTCAGTACATGGGAAACATTGAGAACTACTGTATGAGGTTGTTATATAATAATAGCAAAGAGTTATTTTGGGGGGAGTACATTAGAATCTGAAGATCTAGCTTCAAGCCCCTGTATACATTACTGTCCCCAACAAATCAGTTTTCTCATTCATCTCTTCAAGTCTTCTATAAGAAGTTTGGAAAGTGCCAAGGACTGGTGGCTCATGCCTGTAACCCTAACTACTTAGGAGGCTGTGATTTGAGCCCAAGTTCTAAGGCCTGATTAAAAGAGAAGAAAAAAGGAATGTTAGGGGTATGGCTAGCAAGCACAAGACACTAGTTCTGACAGAAAAAAAAAAAAAAAGCAATAGCAACATAGGTTCTGGTTGCTTTACACAGTTGTGCAAATAATAACTTCTAAGATTTAAAAAAAATTTTCACCAGGCACTGATGGCTCATGCCTGTAATCCTTAACTACTCAGGACACTGAGATCTGAGGATCACAATTCAAAGCTAGCCTTAGCAGAAAGTCCTTGAGACTCTTATCTCCAATTAATTAACAAAAAAAGCCAGAAATAGTGTGGTGGTTCAAATTAGTTAGAGCACTAGCCTTTAGCATAAAAGGTCAGGACAGCACTCAGGCCCAACACCAAAAACAAACAAACGAAAATCACCAACACACACACACACACACACACAAAACCCTCCAGCAAATGTGATATATGCCTGTAATCCCAGCATTTTCACACTCAGTTTAGTGTTCTACCACTTGGGTCACATCTACTTCTAGCTTTTTTGGTGATTAATTGGAGATAAGAGTCTCATTGACTGTCTTGCCGTGGCTGGCTTTGAACCATGGTTCTCCTTGGCAATACCAGAGTTTGAATTCGGGACTTCATGCTTTGGCAAGCAAGCACTCTGACCTATGATGTTTTGAGCTGGATTTAGAAGAAGGTTGGAGGTATAAATTAGCAGCTGGGCCTGAGTGATGTGGGTTAGAGATTCTGTGAAGAGCCTGCTGATTTTCGGGGCCATGTGTTAGCTGATGTAGCATAAGGTAGTCCCACTGTTCCTGCTCTTGCCTCTGCCTTTTCTTCCTTTCGATTGCTGTACTCTTAACCTGTTAGAATGTCGCCTTCCTTCTGTGCCGCAGATCCTTCCTTCTCCATAGCCTGCATACACATGTCTAGGTTCTTTGCCAGCACTGCACAATAAATGAGTAAATAAAAGCAAATGCAGGGCTGGGAAGGTGGCTTAGTGGTAGAGTGCTAGCCTTGAGCTGAAGAGCTGAGGGACAGCACCTAGGCTCAGAGTTCAAGTCCCATGACCGAAAAACAAAACAAAACAAATGCATGTGAAAACTCAGCCATTGTAAAAGATCATGCTTGAAACTAGAGCTTTAGATCCTAGATCCTGATTTTTCTTTGTGGTTGTGTACTGCTGATTCCCAGGTCAGCCAGACTTCTTAAAATTTTCCAGGTGTTCACCTTTGTCTTTCAAATGAAGTGCCAACCTATTTGAACCAATCAGAGTTGGGCTCTGGTACACTCTTCCAGCCTCATGCTCACAGACTCTCTTTCCTGAGCTGTGAGACATTTCCTGGATATAAATGAAGGAAGTAGCCAGGGTAGATAGGGATGCCAAAATGCTGTTATTCTATCCCCCCACCCCACCCCCAGGTGTTGGGGATGGGACTCAGGGCCTCACTCATGCTAGGTAAGTGCTCTGCCACTGAGCTCCATTTCCATCCCTTATTTTTACTTAATGCATAATGTATGATAACGTGTCAAGGATTGTATGGAGTCTGTGCAAGATGTTTGTCATCATAATTAAGCATCTGCCTATGAGCCAACATAGCTATTGTCAACTCTCAGCTTCTGCCCTCTCCCCCTTTTCCTGTAGATTTTAGCCTATGCAGTCTAGCCTGCTGCTTCTCTCCCTTCCTTTGTGGAAAAGGCTATCCTTTTTTTTTTTGGGTCCGGTTGTGGGGCCTGAACTCTGGGCCTGGGCGCTGTCCCTCAGCTCTTCAGCTCAAGGCTAGCGCTCTACCACTTGAGCCACAGCGCCACTTCCGGCTTTTTCTTTTTTTTTGGTCGGTCACGGGGCTTAAACTCTGGGCCTGGGTGCTGTCCCTCAGCTCTTCAGCTCAAGGCGAGCGCTCTACCACTTGAGCTACAGCGCCACTTCCGGTTTTCTGGTGGTTTATTGGAGATAGGAGTCTCACGGTCTCTCCTGCCCGGGCTGGCTTTGAACCACGATCCTCAGATCTCAGCCTCCTGAGTAGCTAGGATTACAGGCGTGAGCCACCAGCGCCCGGCACTTCCGGCTTTTTCTTTTTGCTTATGTGGTACTGAGGAATCGAACCCAGGGCCTCAGGCATGCAAGGCAAGCGCTCTACCACTGAGCCACCTTCCCAGCCCAAGGCTATCCTTTTTAGGGGACCTCTCATCCTAATCTGAGAAGATAATGCTAGATTGCCATCTGGCCTTGTTCTGTGCACTTGCTTCTATCCTGGGATATGTTGACAATAGTCCTGATGGTGAGTAGGACGCCTGTCCCTTGCAGGTCAGGCTGGGAAGCTGATGTACGTGATGCACAACTCTGAGTACCCACTGAGCTGCTTTGCCCTCTTTGAGAACGGCCCTTGCCTTATCGCCGACACCAACTTTGATGTGCTGATGGTGAAGCTCAAGGGCTTTTTCCAGAGTGCCAAGGCCAGCAAGATTGAGACCCGGGGCACGCGTTACCAGTACTGTGACTTCCTGGTGAAGGTGGGCACCGTCGCAATGGGGCCCAGTGCTCGGGGCATCTCTGTGGAGGTAAGACCCTGGGGGACTGGGAGCCAAGTGTACTGCTGGCACTGGGCATCTGGACTTCTTGAATCATTCAGGCTCTAGCCCAGGGAGGGAGAGGGAAGCAAGCTCATAGCAAATAGAAAGCTTAGGATGGCTGGCTTGTCGGAAAAGGGAAGGGAGGGTCAAGGGGGCAGATAAGTTCCAATGTAGAGGGACCTGCCATCCTCCCCAAATACTGGAACACACAGGACTGATGTTTGGGAGATGGGCTCTCAATCCTGGGTCACGTGCCTCTCCTCTGGAGTTGGGGGGCAAACACATACCTTTCCTTTTCACGTACATTTTCATGGGAGAAAAGAGTTTGCTATACCTTTATCTTTGCATCTGACAGTGCACATAATAAAAATGACAGGGAATGTGATCACTGGCCTTGGGAGCAGTGAAAATCCTACCATACGTGCAACATGGTATGAGATTAAAACAATGTCTCATGCACATAACTCACACACCATAGGCTTGCAAGGCTCCTTAAAATTTACCATTTAAGGGCTGGGAAGGTGGCTCAGTGGTAGAGTGCTTGCCTTGCATGCCTGAGGCCCTGGGTTCGATTCCTCAGTACCACATAAGCAAAAAGAAAAAGCTGGAAGTGGCGCTGTGGCTCAAGTGGTAGAGCACTAGCCTTGAGCTGAAGAGCTGAGGGACAGCACCCAGGCCCAGAGTTCAGACCCCACGACGAGACCCCCCCAAAAAAAGAAAGTATGAAAGCCAGTTGCCAATGGCTTACATGTGTAATCCTAGCTAGTCCGGAGGAGCCAGCCTGGGCAGGAAAGTCCACGAGACTCTTAGATCCAATAAACAACTCCTAGCTGGGTGCTGGTGGCTCACGCCTGTAATCCTAGCTACTCAGGAGGCTGAGATCTAAGGATCTCGGTTCAACACCAATCCGGGCAGGAAAGACTGTGAGACTTCTATCTCCAATAAAACACCATAAAACCAGAAGTGGTGCTGTAGCTCAAGTGGTAGAGCGCTCGCCTCGAGCTGAAGAGTGCAGGCCCAGAGTTCAGGCCCCACAACCGACCAAAAAAAAAACAACAACAACAAAAAACAAAACCCAATAAACAACTCCTCCCAAAAAACTAGAAGTGGAGCTTTCTCTCAAGTGTAGAGTACCAACCTTGACCACAAGAAGCCTGGGACCTGCACCAAAAAAAAAAAAAAAAAAATCCAAGTGTGTGTTCACTCTGCTTGTTGTACTTCTCCCTCACCCCTTTCCTACCCTCCATATTTTCTCCTTGTCACTTTGCTGTCTCTCAGACTTTTCTTGAGCTCTCCGTGAGTTGCTGTTCAGCATAGTGGGGCTAATCAGAAGGAGCTTGCATCTGCCTCTGGAGCTTGTGGACAGGGCAGTGGGTTGGCACAGCTCTAGGATGAGAGTATCAGATGCAATAGGAATGGTGCTGGGTGTATTCAGTCCCTGGAGTGTGTTTGAACATTTTCTGCAGACCAGCATTCTATAGGTAGTATATGTCTTTGGGTCTCCTTGCACTCATCCTCATCCTCATTCTCTGTGCTTTTGGTCCCAGGTGGAATATGGCCCCTGTGTAGTGGCGAGTGACTGCTGGAGCTTGCTGCTTGAGTTCCTCCAGAGTTTTCTAGGCAGCCACACACCAGCAGCTCCTGCCGTGTTTGGGAACAGACATGATGGAGTGTATGGCCCAGCAGATACCATGGTCCAGTACATGGAACTCTTCAACAAGATCCGCAAGCAGCAGCAGGTGCCTGTGGCTGGGATTCGTTAGTGACTGGAAACTCTGGCTGAGCTCTTATCAGGGGTACTGCCAGGAGGAACAGGTGCTGCACAATTAGGTTCTGGTCCCCACAAACCCTGGGCAGACATGGAGGCTTCTCTCCTTTTGCTTCCCAGCTATGGTGTTTGTTCCAGGGTTCCAGACTCTTCTCCTCTGTTTCCCACATGCAATCCCCCCATCAACATCTGTTTTACTTTATGCCTTACTGGATTTGTCCTGTTCTGAGGAATGGTAATTATGAAGAATGGAGACACTTAATCCTGTGGCCAGGGGAAAAGGTAGGGCAGAAGTATCCTGGCCTAGCAGTGGAGAGAGAAAACTGTATCCTCAGCTTGAAGACTTGGCCTAGGCTTCAGTGATCATGCTTTGATCTTTTTGTGGGCCATTTTGTACTGAAGTCCCTCCTCTGCTCAAGGACCCATCTGCTGTTTGTCAAGAGGTGGCACAGCTGGACGCCTTTCACTTAATGACCAGTTTGCTGAAGTCATTTGTGAACTGACTTTCTTAGGGTGTTGCCAGGGTCCTTTGAATGTCTTTCTGACATTTCTGCTTTCATTGTGACTTACATGAAGCCACAGGTTAACTACTGAAAGAGAACTAAAGACCGGAGCTCCTCCTAGGTAATTCATTTTCTCTCCCTAATAGTTCAGAGGTAATCAGATGGTTCCTGGGCAAATTTTACTGCATCATCAGGAACCAGTTGTATATCTGTCTTATTGTCAATTCCCTCCCCCCCCCCCCCAAAAAAAAAAACAAACAACCCACACACATTATCCTTACCCACAAGATCACAAGATTCAAGTAGACTCGCTGGCTCCATGTCCTTGTTCCACTGGGGGAGAAAGGAGGGAAGAATGAATGCAGGGGTTGCCAAAATCACTGGTCAAAAGAGATGCTGGAATGTGAAACTTCTAATATGAGTGGTCTATGCCCCAGTTAAAATACAAATGCTTCTGTAACTAAAAGATGGAAGATATGGATGCTGGCCCCAATTGGTGACGTGGGCTACGTGGAATTCTGAGGACTTGCCCAGGAATGTTCTTTGTAGTCAGTACCTCTGTTACAAAGACATTTGTTTAGGATTTAGCTTGGGTGAGCACTGGTCGTGCTGGGAAGTCAGTTCTGTATCCCGTGCCTTAATCTTATCATTGAGGCCTCTCTAAGCACTCAGAATGTAGGGTCAGAACACTGATCCACACTTTGTCACCTCTCTAGGACTCCTATGAGTTTTGGAGCTACTTGTTGGGCATGCCTTACTGGCCTGCCCCACACCTACTGCATAAAAGTTCAGCCAGGCTAACATTTGAAATACAGAGATGGTCTTAGGAACATTGAAAGCATCACAATGAGGAGCAACAGGATTTCTGCAACAGAAGTTAGGTACTGGTTATGTTTCCTTTGTAGCTTTGGCTGACAGGAAGCTCAGTTTGTCTTCCTAGTTTGTGCTTTTTATTTTCACTTCCTCCTGCTTTTGTTGTTGCTTGCTTATTGTTTGCTTTTTAAAAATTGAGATGTTTTAGATAGCATTTACAAACAATAAAACATCTTCCAGTTGTGGTGGTGTACTCCTATGATCTCAGCTACTCAGGATGCAGAGATGATAGAAGTATTATTGGGAGGATTTCATTGATAGGTTTTTAGTTTATTTTAGTCATGTTAAAGGGATATGTTAAGTTATACCACAGATGGCACACACAAATGGTAGACTGACGAGGTAGAACCACTGTTCTCATCTTGTCTGTGTCTTGCACCCACGGACCCATTTCTGCACTAGCCACACTTTCCTCTTGTCCTTGGGATACTTGAGTCTCTATTCCTGTCCCCTCACTGCCTCCTGCTGGCTTCCCTCAGTTATTGAGCATCAAGCAACTCCATTTTCTTCCTGACCTATTGGTGCCAGGCACAGCTGGGAGAAATACCAAGAAGGTAGCCCCTTCTCCTTGCCTGAAGTGACTACTGAACATTTTCTCTCCTATTTCTGGAGAGTAAGGGGAGTGGTTAGAATTTCCACCTAAATTGGGCCAGAGAGGTGTTGCTCTAGTGGTAGAGCACTAGCTGTGAGTAAGAGGTAGAGAGCACCAGCTGTGAACAAGAAAGCTGAGAGTATGAGCCCCATTATCTCATCCCCCCTGCCAAAAAGAAGGAAGGAATAAAAAAGTTCTACATGAGCATGTGTTCCAGATATCAAAAATTGAAACTTAAAATACAAGTGCTTCAGAATGAAAGAGGGGGTTTATTGTCCAAAAAGAAACAATGGTCATTATTTGAGTTCTGTAACCCTTCTGTACATCACTTTTCCCCCCCAGTCCTGCGGCTTGAACTCGGTACATCAGGCACTATCCCTGAGCTTCTTTGGCTCAAGGCTAGCACTCAACACTTGATCCACAGCACCACTTCTGGCACTTTCTGTGTGTGTGGTACTGAGGAACTGAACCCAGGGCTTCATGCATGCTAGGCAGACACATTACCACTAAGCCCCCTGTACATCACCTTTCTAATAATTTTTTTGAGGTTTTAATATTTAAACTATACAAAGGAGTTATCATTTAATGAAGGCATTTATGAATACAATTTATCTTGATCACCCCATCTCATTCTGACCTGTTGCTCCTCTAGCCAAGTTTGGTGGTAGGCAGGCATATATAGACATATGAACTGAAATACGTTAGGGTCAAGTGAGATCTCAAATAGTATAATTCCTTAGAAAGGCAAAGTCAAAATCAGCAAAAATAAAACACCAGGAACCAGATACTCAAAAGGAGCGGGGTGAGATCAGGAAGAGGAGAAGGGGGAAAATGCAGTAAACAACCCAATGTGTGGACATAACTGGCATTTACTTCTAGGTATGTGCTGTCTATCTAGATATTTTATGAGTTTATTTGAATATCACCTTTCATGATCAGATAGAAAACAAATTTCACATGGAGATGAGCTACAGAAATACATATAGGTGGAAATTATATCATTTCCTAGAATCCACATTCTGGTTCAAATGTGCAGTTCATGCCGTAGTGATCCTTATTTATTCATTAATTAATATATTTAGTTATAGAATTGGCATACCTACCCATCCATTTCACTTTATGTCTATTTTATGAACTCATTTATCTCTCACTTTGTGCTGGAAGCTCCTTCATCACGTACTATTGTCAAATCAGGGACAGTGGTCCCATATCACTTAAAAGCACATAGAGGGCTGGGAAGATGGCTCAGTGGTAGAATACTTGCCTTGCATGCATGAGGCCCTGGGTTTGATTCTTTAGCACCACATAAGCAGAAAAAGCCAGACGTGGCACTATGGCTCCAGTGGTAGAGCACTAGCCTTGAGCTGAAGAGGTGAGGGACAGTGCCCAGGCCCAGAATTCAGGCCCCATGACTGGTCAAAAATAAATAAAAGCACATAGAATCAGATATCATGAATGCTAGAGTTCAAGTACAAAATATAGTTTTTTTTAAAAAAAAAAAATATATACAAGTGCTGAGGTTGAGGGTATTGCTCAAGTGGTAGAACACTTGTCCAGCATGTTCAAGGCCCCAGGTTCAAATTCCAGCACCACATAATAGATATGTGGATAGACTGATGGATTGTTCAGTATGTAGGAAACCAAAAGGCTAGATATCTAGACATTTGACCTTCATAGTTGATATGTGACCTGTGATTCCCTTGCTACGTCCTCCCTTTCCACATCAGTTATTGTCTGCATGCTATCTATCATGCAGGTTCTATTGGGCACGCGGAAAAGCTGAGCCCACAGTATTATAAATTGGAGCCTCTCTTGGGGATTTGGTGTCTGCTCTGTGAGTCCTTGATGGTGAGATCTCCATGTGAGTTTTTGCCTTTGGGTAGAATGTTGTCAAATCAGTCTTTACAGCACTTGGATTTCCCTTACACCATCCTTCCCAGAGGCCATGCAGCTTTGGCTACCCTTGTCTAGGGAATTCCCTTCCCTATTTATTTCTTACTGGCTCTGAGACAAACCAACCAAACCACAACAGAATTCACCTGTCCTTTCCCTCCCAGATTGTGGAGATTGCATTGTGCTTAATGAGGGAATTTGTTAGTTCCTATTGGAGTATGACTATACTGCAGGGGTGTGTGTGCTTGCGCATCATGTGTGCCTGTACTGGGATTTAAATACAGTTTACAGGTATAAACCACTGGTGCCTAGCACCATCTGCCTTTTTATTCTAGTTATTATTTATTTATTTTTTGGGTCCGGTTGTGGGGCCTGAACTCTGGGCCTGGGCACTGTCCCTCAGCTCTTCAGCTCAAGGCTAGCGCTCTACTACTTGAGCCACAGTGCCACTTCTGGCTTTTTTTCTTTTTGCTTATGTGGTGCTGAGGAATCGAACCCAGGGCTTCATGCATGCAAGGCAAGCGCTCTACATGAACAGAAAAAGCCGAAAGTGGCGCTGTGGCTCAAGTGGTAGAGGACTAGCCTTGAGCTGAAGAGCTGAGGGTCAGCGCCCAGGCCCAGAGTTCATGCCCTAGGACCGGCAAAAACAACCGTTATGGCAATGGGAGAGCTAAGTTCTTATGGAGGGATCTAATGTAACTCTTGAACCAAAGGACCAACCCTGACCAGACCAAACCCTATCATTCCATGCCTTCTGTGTACTCTTAAAAATGTACAAGTTTAGCTGTCTTTGGAAATCTTTTCGATGAGGCATTGTCGTTTCCCTTCTCTCTCTCTGGCATCTTTACTTCCCTATTTCATGTTTACATATGTGAAGCCTTGAACCACTGTAGCTAATAATTCGTGTTTAGTTCTGTTACCAGCTTATTATTTATTATTATTATTAAAAAGCGTGAAGTCTTTACCTGCCTTAGCCGGATGGTAGCAGCATTTGTCTTATTTGGGATCCTTCTGTAAAGCTGGCAACTTCCCCACGGTCTCCCTCGGTACTCTAGAAGTCCCGGGCCACCTCCCCAGTCTCCGCTCAACTTCGGGGATTTCACTTGGACTTCGGAATCCCGCTTAGGTCACCAGTTAAGCCCGGGAGCGCTCCTCCGGGAGCCGACGGTAACTTTGGCCGCCGGGGCTCGGAAACCCCGGGGCTCGGAGCGATCCTAAAGACCACAAAACAAAAGCAGACGGGGCAGTGGGAAAAGCTGTGCTTGCCGAGGCGGGAGAGGCTGGAGGTGAGCCGAAGAGTATGGGGAATCCGGGGATGGAGAAGGGGGCGGAAAGCGTCCCGGGAGGACCCCGGGCCCTTTAAAGAGGAGGGGCAGATCCTAGCCTCTGTACTTTTAAGAGGCTCTTTGTCTGTAAACCTTGTTTACCCTCCTGTGATTCAACCAAACTTCCGGCTGGTGATTCTCAGCGCCGGTGTACGCCGCCGCTCCTTACGCCCTGCTCGAGTCGGCCGCGGGTCGGACCCTAAACTTAGCGCCTCCGGCGCGAACCCACGGAGAGGGCGCGAGTACCTCGGTCGCGGCCCAGCGCTACGCGGTTGGCGCAATGCAGAGCTCGGGGGGCGGGCTCGGAGGCGTGGTTCCTGCAGGCGGGCCAATGGGAGTTTAGGGGGCGTGGCCGCGTCAGTTGTCTCGCGCCCTGGTGACAGCTCGCGCGTGCTGATGATGGCGGTAAATAGAGGGGGGCTGGGGAAGGGGGCGGAGGGCGGGGGGGGGCAGCGCTGGGGCAGGGCCGGGGGTGGCGGGCCGGGGCCGGGGGCCGCGGCGGCCGGGGAGAGCATTGCGAGGCTGGAGGCGGGGACGGGAGTTCCCTCACGCTGACCCTCCCCTTAAAGAAGCAAAATCCCCCTGCACCGGGTGAGGGGCGACAAAGGCGGCGCGCGCCTGGCGGGCGGGCGGGCGGGCGGCGCAGGGGGCGGGGCCGAGCGCCGGCGGGCCGGGGGGCGCGCGGGCGGGGCCGGCCGGCTGGGGACGGGGGCGGGGGCCCGGCGCCCGCGCCGCGCCGCGCCGCGTTTTGGCGGGGTGGGCGACGGCTTGGGAAAGGCTGAGGGGAGCCGAGGAAGGGAAGCTTGAGGCCCGGGCGGAGAGGGCGATGAGGGGCGTCCAGAGGAGAGAGGGCTGGAAGCCGGGGAGCGGAGAGTGAAGGGTCACAGCCGGCTGGGCGTCGAGGAAGCCGGGCACGGGAGGCGGCGAGGGGAACGGACCCCGGCTGGGGACAGGGGTCCTGGGGGCTTCGCGGAGACCGGGTGAGAGTTGGAGGTGCCGGGCGAGGAGGCAGAGCCGGGGTGGTCGTCGGGAATAGGGGGAGCGGGCGGCGGAGAGCCAGACGTGACGAGGGTGAGAACTAGAGCCGGGCGGGCGGACCGGGTGGCCGGTCGAACCGGGGGCCGGCACCGCCGCCGCGCTGCCGGGGTGGGAGCGACCGGCGCCTCCGGGAAAGGTGGGGATGGGTGTGGGTCCCGGAGAGCGGGGAGGGGCGCCCGAGACCCCGGACTCGAGCCCGGGGGAGTCGGAAATAGCGCGATGGAAGGGCGAAGGGAATGAGAGATGAGAGGGATGGGCGTTCATCGGGCAATTCTGGGACCGGAAAGGCTGTAAAGAGCCCACAGAGTAAGGGTCTAAGAAGGGATGGCGATCCGGGGCAGGAAGGGGGGGTTCGTGCTCCTAGGAGGGGCTCGACAAAGATATTAGGCTAGAAACTAATGAGGTGAAGAAGACCGGGCAGGAAGCCGACCGCGAGCAGGAAGAGATGGACCCCAGGATTTGAGGGGTGGGACGGGGGAGTATGGAAGAGAAGGGAAGGGAAGCTGGGGCAGTCCTGACGGATGCAGAGCTAGGCTAGACGGCCTTGAGGAGGGAACGAATGTGCGTCTGGCCCACGAGATGCTCAGGTCTGCGAGGGTCAGGGCGCCAGTGCGGTAGCGAAGGTCCAGTGCAGGGGCCCTTGGTGCACGAGAGGAGCCATGGTGAGTGAAAGGGGACTTAAGAGACGGGTAAAGACTGAAAAGTAAGGGCTGAGGTCGGGAGGGATAGGAAAGGAGTCCTTTGTTGAGAGAATTGTGTGTTGAAATTGTGAGTCCTTTTGTCCCTAAAAGTAAGGAATTCCAGAAAGCCCTTTCTGTCTTCAAGGAATCTTGAATCCACAACCACCTTTCATTGCTTTTAATTGGACTTCCATGTCTGCTTTAAACCGATGAAACCCATTTTGGTTTGACTTTGTTCTTGGATGAAGGATAAAGTGTCATTCTGGGTGCAGCCAACCCCTGAATTTCTCTTCTGTTGTGAGGATGGGGAAATGGGTTGTGCTGACTTAACATTGTGCCTGTGTAATGTGCTAGTTTTGGTATTGGAACCCTGTTGTACTGACAAGTGCTGGGCAGGGTGCCCTATTCCCCTAGTATTTTCATTTTCAGTGGGGAGAGTACACTGTTGTTGGGATGAAGATGGGAATCTTTTTGTTCCTGTGAACCTTCCGGGGTTTTGCTTAATTGTCTTTTCAGTGGCTGGAGAGTATTGAGAACTCATACCAGAGAAAAGGCAAATAACCAACTAGTGAAGATCACTGAGGGAGGGTTAACTCAGAGCTTTGAGTTGCCCTTAGCTTTGTGTGGAGCTCACCAGTTTTACAGAATGGAATAGAGGGAGAATTGTGAAGTTGTGGAAGATTGTAGACTAGTGGACTTACCTTTAGGTTAAAGAGTGTATGAGTAATTTTTATGCAAAAAAATCTCTTCAAGATAATCTTGCAAGCTGTCTTGGACAGCTCCACTGTCTCTAATAGTTTATGACTAGGAATAAAGAAAGCCATATTAACATTACGTTTCTAGAAGCTATTCACTTTTTAGACACTTGGAAATTAAAAGGAAGAAAGGAATTTGCAGTATAAGGAATTGGGGATAAGCAGGGCGCCAGTGGCTCACGCCTGTAATCCTAGCTACTCAGGAGGCTGAGATCTGAGGATCACGGTTCAAAGCCAGCCCAGGCAGGAAAGTACGTGAAACTTTTTTTTTTTTGGGGGGGGGGTCTGGTCGTGGGGCCTGAACTCTGGGCCTGGGTGCTGTCCCTCAGCTCTTCAGCTCAAGGCTAGCACTCTACCACTTGAGCCACAGCGCCTGATTTTTTTTTTTCCTGCTTAGGTGGTGCTGAGGAATCAAACCCAAGGTCTCATGCATGCAAGGCAAGCGCTCTACCACCACCAAGCCACCTTCCCAGCCCACCGTGAAACTCTTATCTCCAATAAACTACCAGACAACTGGAAGTGGCTCTGTAGCTCAACTGGTAGTGCACTAGCCTTGAGCTGAAGAGCTCAGGGACAGTGCCCAGGCCCAGAGTTCAAGCCCCAAGACTGACAAAAATAAAAAAAAAGAAAGGAATTGGGGATAATATGTTATTTTTTTAAAATATTTTAATGATTTTTATGCTGAAGCATTTACATTTAGCTAAGACTATGAATGAATATTTACTCTGCGTTTGATGGTGCCAAAAGATTGTGTAATGTTTGCTTAAGAAAAAATGTGAAGTCTTTTTTTTTTTTTGGTACTGAGGAATGAACCCAGGGCCTTACATGTTCTTTTTTTTTTTTTTTTTTTTTTTTTTTTTTTTTTATTTTTGGGTCCAGTAGTGGGGCCTGAACTCTGGGCCTGGGCGCTGTCCCTCAGCTCTTCAGCTCAAGGCTAGCACTCTACCACTTGAGCCACAGCGCCACTTCCGGCTTTTTTCTTTTTGCTTATGTGGTGCTGAGGAATTGAACCCAGGGCCTCATGCATGCAAGGCAAGCGCCCTACCACTGAGCCACCTTCCCAGCCCCCCGGGCCTTACATGTTCTAAGTAAGTGCTCTACTACTTGAGTTAGACACCTTAGGTCTTTTGTTTTTATTTTGTTTTTGTGACAGAGCCTTGCTACCTTTGTCCAGGTTAGTTTAGAACTCTGTAATCTTCCTGCTTCATCTCTTGAGTAGCTGAGATTACAGATGAGTAACAATGTCTGGCTCAAACTATTTGAGACTCTTTATTTATTAGTATTATTGCTTTAGGGTACATTCAGTTACATACATACTTTTGTTTCTGAAGTTGTATTAGAAGTTGGAGTTGTAGGGCTGGGAAGGTGGCTCAGTGGTAGAGAGCTTGCCTTGCATGCCTGAGGCTCTGGGTTCAATTCCTCAGCACCACATGAGCAAAAAGAAAAAAGCCGGAAGTGGCGCTGTGGCTCAAGTGGTAGAGTGCTAGCCTTGAGCTGAAGAGCTGAGGGACAACGCCCAGGCCCAGAGTTCAGGCCCCACGACTGGACCCAAAAAAAAAATTAAAAAAAAAAAAAAAAAGAAGTTGGAGTTGTAGGGGCTGGGAAGGTGGCTCAGTGGTAGAGCACTTGCCTTGCATGTGTGAGGCCCTGGGTTCGATTCCTCAGTACCACATAAGCAAAAAGAAAAAAGCCGGAAGTGGTGCTGTGGCTCAAGTGGTAGAGTGCTAGCCTTGAGCTGAAGAGCTGAGGGACAGCGCCCAGGCCCAGAGTTCAGGCCCCACGACTGGACCCAAAAAAAAATTAAAAAAAAAAAAAAAAAAAAAAGTTGGAGTTGTAGGCTACCATATACAAGGCTCTGTATTTCATCCCCAGCACAACAAATAACCACCTCAAAACTCAAAATAATTATTTCAAAGTTGGGTATATTTGGGATTACTACCTACTAGTTTGTTGGCATTTATATGAATTGCAAAAATTAGGTTTATGACATTTGTAATAGATGCAAAAAATGATTTTTATTTGTGGATATCAGAAACATCAATTATCAATATCTGTGAATTATTTAGAATCTTAACTCTTTTTGAATTTAGTGTTAACTATGTTAAGGGCATAGCATTTAGTTTCTGGTCTGTTTCCTGCACTCAGTTCAGAGGTGTTCAGGTTTAGTAGCTTTATTTAGTAATTGAACAAGATTTTTTTTTTGGGGGTCGTGGGGCCTGAACTCTAGGCCTGAGTGCTGTCCCTCAGCTCTTCAGCTCAAGGCTAGCGCTCTACCACTTGAGCCATCGTGCCACTTCCGGCTTTTTTGTGTTTGCTTATGTGGTGCTGAGGAATTGAACCCAGAGCCTCAGGCATGCACGGCAAGCGCTCTATCACTGAGCTTCCCAGCCCCAAGATGTGTTTTTTTTTTTTAATCACTATTTTTGCTACTAAGTTTTGAGATTAGTTTGGAAATGTAAACTTTGAAGATGAAGAGCAAGACAGATGTGAGGTACCTGCAACTGCATTGTGTGTGTGTGTGTGTGTGTGTGTGTGTGTGTGTGTGTGTGTATTCCTTTCATTGGTGGATGTATTTGGCCTTTAGTAAGTTGTCCTATGTATGATATTGTCATTTTTATAATATATTTTTCTTACGTTTTTTGTAATGTATTTGTTTTAAATGCAATGTCTATATATATGTATATATGTATATATATATATTGTTTTACCCAAATTTGGTATTTGTAGAGAAAAAAGTAAAAACTAGCCAGACGTTGGTGGTCCATGCCTGGAATCCTAGCTATTCAGGAGACTGAAATCTGAGGACGATGAAACCTAGGTTGGTCAGGAAAGTCCCTAAGGCTCTTACCTCAAATTAACCACTAAAAACCAGAAAGTGGAACTGTAACTCAAATGGTAAAGCCCTAGCCTTGAGCACAAAAGCTCAGGGACAGTGCCCAAGCTGAGTTCAAGCCCCAGGAAAACACACACACACACACACACACACACACACACGCAGGCACGCACGCACGCACGCACGCACGCACATACTCACACAACACTATCTTCAACCAGAGCCAAGAGTCTTTTGAGTCATGCCTTTTGTTTCTGTGTATTAACTTAATGTGTTAAATCACTGATTATTGTAAATGGTTAGCTCCCAGTTGATTTTTTTTTGGGGGGGGGGTAGTGGGGGTGGGTAGCTGGTCATGGAATTTGACCTCAGGCCCTGGGCACACTGTCCCTGAGCTTTTCTGCTCAAGGCTAGCACTCTACCATTTGAGCCCCCGGGCCACTTCTGGCTTTTTCTGTGATTTAATTGGAGATTAGAATCTCATGGAATCATTTGCCCAGGCCAGCTTCCTGAGTATCTAGGATTACAGGATAGAGCCACTGGAGTCTGATATCAGCTGATATTTAAAACTGGCAATGAATGTTCTTTTGGCTCAGATAGTACTATTTATCAATAAGGACTCTAAAATTTAAATTTTCTCTTGTTGGTCAAGTAGAATTCTACTCAACTTTATTTTGATTATAATCTTTTTTTTTTTTTTTTGTCAGTCATTGGGCTTGAACTCAGGGCCTTTGCACTGTACTTGAGCTTTTCTGCTCAAGTGTAGTGCTCTACCACTTGAGCCCTAACTTCACTTCTGGATTTCTGGTGGTAATTGGAGATAGAGTATCATGGACTTTCCTGCCCAGGCTGGATTTGAACTGGGATCCTCCGATCTTAGCCTCCTAAGTAGCTGATTTCAGGCATGAGCCACTGGCACCAGGCTTATTTTGGTTATAATCTTAATTGCTTGGCAAAAAAAATCCCAACCTTTTTAATTTATATTTTGAAATTTGAATGAGTAGGCTGTACATAATTAAATGTGTTTCTGGTTAATTGTAGAATCTTTGGATGGGAAGAGACCTTGAAAGGACCTCAGCATTTATCCTGTTCTTATTAATCTTAAGTGGTAACTTGGCAGTCTTTGCAGATAATCTCTTCTAGCATGTACTTGTTTCTCTCTCAGGAGGGTCTGTCTTCTGTCTAGCCTATACCTCATGCTATATTTGTATTTGTTTCCTCTTGGCCTGTTGTCAAGCTTTGATTTCAAAAAAGTCTGCTTACTGTAATTTTTATAATCTTAGTTCTTCATAAACTTAATACTAGTAGCTAGCCTGTATGTAATGCTTTAGCACCAATCCCTGTGGTTAGTGTTTTGCCAGTTGTAACTCATTTATTCTCCTAGCAATCCTCTC